AAAAGTAAACGTTAGAGTCATCATATATTTATTTATTTATTCATTAGTACATATATGTGTATATGGCGGACTTAATGCTAAAAGCATTCTCTCCCATTCAACCATAGGGAAGTGTCTGAATATTCGAATGTGGTACTAGTAATTATTGATATACATACATACTAAAATTACATATATAAACGAATAAATATATATGAATAATAAATATACTTACACATATATGACATATACTATATTATACACGATATTGAGAATAATATAAAGCACTTACTGCTCGGATAAAGTAAAAATGTGAGCATGAAGGGTTTTTTTTTGAAAGACGGTTTAGTCGGTAGTCTCTTAATGGTATCAGGATGCGCGGTCCAGAGTCGTGAAGAATGTAGGAGAAAACAGTTTGAAGCGAAACCAGTACGGTGAGAGGAGATAGATAGTTGGAGAGTAGTACTGGAACGAAGGTTACGATCGTGAGGTTCAAAACGGTACTGGAATTTGCTGCTTAAGTAGTTAGGAGACTGGGGGTTTCCTAACGTTTCTGCATTAACGAATTGGAAGCCATTTGAGCTGAGACCGATAGAAAGAAATCTGATCGAACTTCGGAAAAGGGAGACTTTGTACAAAAGTCGATTGCTTGGGTACCTCTGTCCCATTCGTGTTTCTACCGTGAAGCGGTTGTGTTTGTATGGCTGTGTTTCGGTTTGAAGGGTGGGCGTTTGAAGTATGGCGTGAATTTACAGGGTACAGAGGAATAACATCTGAGTCCTCAGTGTACGCATGGGGGTATCATGGGCGTAACAGTATATTCTGTTATGTCCATGCTACTGCTTATGTGTATAGGCGACGGTTACCACTTTCCATCAGGTGGGCCGTCAGCTTGTTTGCCATATTAAGTTGTATAAAAAAAAGGTTAAAAATAAAGCGTATAAAATATACTTGGCTTGGTATAAAATATATAATATACTACATATATTATACACGAAATTGAGAATAATATAAAGTACTTACTGCTCGGATAAAGTAAAAAAATGAGCGAGAACTTTTTCAATCATTCACTTACATACTGTTCAGAAAATATTGTATTATACTATACCGGTAATATTAGATAATACAAGATCGTGTACGTCATCCAATAAAGTTTACTGGAGCCATAAATAGTGGTGCGGCCTCGGCAACAGTTTACACGACTGCGCCTATAAATGTCTGTATGTAGGTATGTGCAAGGCCAGGGTGGTAACCGACGGTGGATGGATCGCGCCATTCGCCCCTTGATGTACATAGCAACATATTTATAATGATATACTTATTTCAAGTGGTTTGTGTTTCATTTAATCCTGATAATAAATATAATGTATATTTGTTTCCTTATCATGTTTTTTTTTTTTAATTTTTTTATGCTTAAATAGTTGAACGGGTTCCAATAAAATTTTATGTTTGGCTAGGCTATGTCCAAACTTAACAGAGGATTTTGGGGGGGGAGGGAGTGTTAACAATGCAGACTACCAGTCCTATTGCTAGCAATATACCCTATCAGGTCAACCTCCACGTGGTTCACCCTGGAAACCATCGTGCTGAATTGAAACTGTATTCATCACGACGGGCTAACTGATTTGCCTTTTCATCCTTACCTATCAAGTTTTGCTGATGCCCCGCCAACGTATACCGTTAGTGCAGGCGGGGTTAGCATTCCATTATCATCCATTAAAAAAATTAGGATATTTTGTTCTATACAAAATATTGTACACGCAAGTAAAACCATGGGAAACAGTTGTTAATGAATAGGTTCTTTTATGAAACTTAAAATTACAAATAAGCTAATAGCCCAAAGTGGTAACTGTCGCCTATACACATTGTGATAGTAATAAAATACCATTCTTGATGAAAAGTCGATTGCTTGGGTACCTCTGTCCCATTCGTGTTTCAACCGTGAAACAGCTGTGTTTGCATGGCTGTGTTTCGGTTCAAAGGGTCCCACCCTTTTAGAGGAAAAACACCTGAGTCCTCAGGAATGGCAACGCATTGGGGGTATCATGGGCGAAACAGTTACTCTGTTATGTTCATGGTACTGCTCATGTCTATAGGCGACGGTTACCACTTTCCATCAGGTGGACCGTCAGCTTGTTTGCCATTCTAAGTTGTATAAAAAGAATAACTGGTTATTTGGTTAGAATTACTTCTTCGAGTGTTGCCAGTCACACACATACTAATGGTAGTGGAATTAAACAAAATAATTCTAATAAAATAACCAGTAATATGGACTTCAACAAAATAACACATAGTTTAGGAAAATATGTAAAATAATTTAAAAAAATGGAATCATTTACATTTTTTTATGCAATTTAGAATGGCAAATCAACTATTTCGTATACTGTTTGGCCCATAATACCTTTCATGCATTGCCATTCCTGAGGACTCAGGTGTTATATCTCTGTACCCTGTAAATTCACTGCCATATCCCACCCTTCAAATTGAATCACAGCCATGCAGACATATGAATTTGCGTCGAAGTGTATGTAAATGTTGTATTGATGCTAATTAGCGTCATCTCAAGGTTTAATTTTCTCTTGTAACACACCTGTTTACCTTTTTTTTTAACCGACTTCAGAAAAGGACTAAGTTTTCAATTCGTCTGCATATTTATTTAATGTCTGTTACCTCATAACTATGTTAGTTCTATTTCTATCTGAAAGGGTACACTTTCAAATTGGTTCCCACAGAAATTTTATCAAAATAGGTTGAGTAGATTAGTTTTTAAATAAAATTAACTAATTTTGCCATAATTGGAGTCGTTTACTATCATGATTAATTCCTGATGAATTAATCATGATGGGCTAACTGGCCTGTTTTCATTCTCATCTATCACCCTTCACTGGTGCCCCGCCAGCGTATCCATTTCACCCATACCATTTTCACCCATAAAAAAATGTGAATATATAAATGTATATTTTAAATGATTGGTTAAGTCGTTACGGCGCTATAAGGTAACAAATAAACAGACTTACTTTCACATTTATGTTACTAAGAATGTAGTATTGAACTAGGTGTTCTAGATTGTGAAGTGGGACTTCTTGGGACGTCAACAAACGATAAACAAACGAACAAGCGGTCTCGGCACGAATCGATTCGGCGTCCAAAATAGCTGGAATATAGTTCGATATGCTGGTAGTAACGAAAACTGAATGTTTACACTGTACGCGCGTCATTGACTACTGATTTAATGACGTATCCACGGATTGTGGGCGAGTGAGGGTACCTATATTTGGTAAAACGAGATGTTATCCACTGCTATTAAGCTAGAAACAACATTCGTTTCGACCGACTCCCAAAAGACAGAGGTTCTCAATTCGCTTATATTTTTTTTCAATGTTCCTTGCCTCATAACTCCGTCAGTTTTTTTTTTAATATATGATAATGAAAATGGTAACCCCGCCTGCGCTATCGGTACACCCTGGCACCAATGAGGGATGATAGGTGAGGAGGAAGGCATCCGTCGGCCCAACGTGAAGAGTTCGACAAGAACTAACCACGATGGTTTCCAGGGGGAACCACGTGGAGGTCGACCTGATAGGGTGTATTGTTAGCAATGGGGTTGTTAGAACCCATTCCAACTCCGCCAATTCTAAACTGATTTGAAAAATTCTCTTTTTATCTGAAAAAATATACTTACAATTGGATCTCGTAGAAATTTTATCAAAATCGGCGCAGTAGATTAGTTTTTAAATCAAAATAATTTGTTTAGTCGTTTTTTTTCTTTGTGTGTACACAGTTTTCATACTATAATATTTAAAGCCAAAAAATTTTTTTTTCAAAACAGCTTCCAATAAAGGTTCCCCACCAATCAACATTTGGGATCTACAGTGAATCATGAATGTGGTACTTCTTTATCAATATAGTTAATAAAAATAATAATACTTCTCTCTCTTTTCATTTAACAGTTTCCTCTTGTCGGTGCAGCTAATTCATGCATCTTCCTCCAGCCAGCTCTATCCCAGGCCATATCCTTGACTTCCCTATACGACATGACACCTAGTGTTTCTGTTATCTTATACGAATAATACTTATACAGATATATAAATTAAATATTCAACAATTTCTACAATGACATAATAAAAGCCAAACACAAAGCTCGTTATGTTCCATTTAGCACTCAATTTACATGAATGTGTTAATATTGCAATCATTTATATTTGTACAGCGCGCCCACAATATTCAGAGTACATAGCTAAACAAACTATTTCAGTACAATAGTTTATAGCTTCTAACAATTTTATGTACATGTAACATTGTACTTCAGTTTTGTAGCTAATATAGATAGATAGATAGATACTTTTTATTGTTTCCTCCAAAAGATTACAATAGTAAACTTATTATAAATATAAACAATTACAAGAAATAATCACAATGAGAAAACAATGGACGAATTTATTATATATATACATGCATATAAACACCTACACAAATACATAAAAATGGGTGGAAAGGTATTGTTAGTAATGCGGTCTAATTGACCCATTGCTAGCAATACATTCTATCAGGTCGACCTCCACGCGGTTCCCTCTGGAAACCATCTTGGTTAATTCTAATGGAATTTGTCACGATGGGCTAACTGATCTGCTTTCATTCTCACCTGTCATCCTTTACTGGTGCCCCGCCAGCGTATCCCGATAGCACACCCGGGCTTACCATTATCACCCATTAAAAACAAATACATAAATATATATAAATACTATTCACATGTATACGTAATCAAATTTATGCCTATTCTATTATAATTTTCAAATAAAATTTTACATTAATATTAGATACAGCATCCATATTTTGGAATATGCATTCGGAAGTACGTCAGTAAAGTCTCTGGAGTTGACGTCCATAAGCTATGTTAATCGTTTACCATCAGACGTGCCGTATCTTTGATTGAAGTATTGCTATTTTTGTTTATTGTAGTTTAAAAGGAACAGGTTTTAGTATTGGTCCGGTTTGTGATTTTACGCTTTCCTGTTTTCCAGGTGTCATCGGTTTGATCTACCTGGTGATGTACATCTGCATCATCATATTTTTCTCGATCTGTATGTGCGGTCTCCTGGCCACGATGGATGAAAGGATTCCTTACTTCACGCTTGCTGACTCTATTATAGGTAGGTATTTTTTTACTTGACTTACTGCCTATGGGTGACTACTTACTACTTGACTATGGGTGTCGCATAAGGCGATTAAAGGAATTTAATGGTTTAAGGCATTGTTTCTAAACCATTTTTATGTCGCGATCCACGAAAAATAACAAAAAGTTATGGAGAAAGTCTTGCGACCCCGTCACTAGAAAATTAATTAATAAATAATTAATTAATTTTATATTTTAATTAATAATTAGTCTTTTCCCTGTATCCACTATTATCACACCGATAGTGTAATAAAAAAAACAAGTAATAACCAAAAAAAAAAGGAAAAAAAGTAGTAAGAGGGAGACTGTACAAAAGTTGATTGCTTGGGTACCTTTGTCCTATTCGTGTTTCAACCGTGAAGCAGTTTTGGTGGGCGAAACAGTATACTCTGTTATGTCCATGGTACTGCTCATGTCTATAGGCGACGGTTATCACTTTCCATCAGGTGGACCGTTAGACCTCTTTTAATGATAAACGTGACCTCCCCAAGGGTCGCGACCTCTCGGTTGAGAAACGATGGTCTAGGGATAGACAGCAGTGTGCCTTTTAAAACATGATACCACAATACAAGACAAATCAAGCGTGGCAACTACTTGCAGAACCCTCCAATATGGGGGGACCTATGTCCGGTAGTAGACAATCAAAGACTGATGTGATCATTGTTATAATATTAACCTTTAACTGTCCACTGCTGGACATAAGCCTCCCAATAGTGGGTTTTTGCTAGTAGTTGTCACGCTTGGCAGGCGGATTGGCAACCGCAATTAGGCGGGGGGAAAGGGATTGTTACTGATGGAGACTGAGAATCCCATTGCTCGCAATATACCCAACCAATGCGATCTCCTCGCGGTTCCCCCTGGAAACTATCATGGTTAATTCCTGATGAATTCATCATAACGAGCTAACTGGCCTGTTTTCATTCTCAGCTATCACCCTTAGACTAAGACCCCTTATATTAAGTTTCCTTTAATATCTCCCATGTACAGAAAATTTCAATTTTATTACATTACATTACTCATATATCTCTAAACGGCTGAACTTTCAGGCGACAACCCCGGCATGGGCCACAGGCCGCTGCTGTTCGAGGAGGGCGCCCTCATCTGGTACTCGGCTGACAACTCCACACAGGTCAAGAAGTATGTGGACAACATCAATCAATTTCTAGCACGTGAGTGATTTGTATATATTGTCGTTTGAATTATCTAAGAGATGAAATGCCTATAGTTAATTTTTTTTTTTATTTATTCGTATTTGACGTTCCATTGAATCTGCTACACTTATTTTCGCATATGGGATCAGATCCTAAACGATATCCGTTGTTCGTCGAATAGACCCACATATCTACTACCGGGATCTTTTATGTGACTTCCCAAACTAGGATCTCCTGTGTTATTAGGAACCAGCCATCGTATATCTGCCAACACCAGAGGGAGACTTTGTACAATAGTCGACTGCTTGGGTACCTCTGTCCATTCGTGTTTCAACCGTGAAACGTTTATGTTTTCGTTGGCTGTGTTTCGGTTTGAAGAGTGGATATGGCGTGAATTTACAGGGTACAGAGGAATAACATCTGAGTCCTCAGGAATGGCAACGCATGGGGGGTATCATGGGCGAAACAGTATACTCTGTTATGTCCATGGTACTGCTCATGTTTATAGGTGACGGTTACTACTTTCCATCAGGTGGGCCGTCAGCTTGTTTGCCATTCTAAGTTGTAAAAAAAAAAACCCAGAACAAAGATTATTCAATAAGAAAAAATTAATATCCAGAATTGAACCCGGGATCTTATTCGTTGGTAAAAGCTCGTTTAACAATACATGGCTGAATTCTACATATATTTATATAATGTGTTATTTAAAAAAAAAATATTACAGCCTATGAAAACAAAAGCCTACTGATCAACAAGGGCGTGAATCAGCGCGAGTGCGGTGATGTGAAGCCGCCGCGGGAGGAAGTGTGCGCATTCGACACTAAGCAGTTTGGACCGTGCTCCAAGCAGAACAATTACGGCTACTCCTCCAAAACGCCTTGTATCATCATCAAACTAAATAGGGTAAGTGGTTGGTGACGTCGCCATTCTTGCTGTTTCTAAAAAAACATATAATGAGTATTCTGTATTTGGTAAACTAAACCAAATTTTCATCCCAACTATATGGACAAGTGGCAGTCCTCTACCGTGCATTTTTCAAGGCACTTTCTCCCACGCACAACCACTCTTTAGAATCAACATCCAACAGCAGTATTTCCAAACCGATACGACATCATAACCTTCAAGAAAAGAGCATATTCCTTTATAAAAGGCCGGCAGTACACCTGCAATGCCGCTGGTGTTGTGGGTGATTATGGGCGGCGGCGGTCACTTACCATCAGGTGAGCCGCTTGTTCGTTTGCCCCCTGTGTTGTAAATAAAAAAACTAGTATTGGATTGAAAAACTTGCCTTTACGACAGGATCCAAACTTCATAATGGCTTGGGTCTTGTTCAAGAATAAATATTTTGTAAGAAATGTTTGTTCCTCACATTACATTATTATATATATGATATATGTATGTATGTATGTCCTCTTCATTGATTAAATACACAGAAATTGTTTTAGGTAGATCCTTATTTTTATTACTACTATGTATTAAAATTTTTATCAGTTATTCAACTGGAATCCCGATTTCTACGACGATCCCGGCGACCTGCCCCCTACGATGCCTCCAGACATCAAGGAGTATATCAATTCCACCACAACGGCGCAGCAAGTGAGTGAACAGCTTTTATGATAGCTATGTATATTGAATCCAGATTTTACCACAGGATTATTTTGTACAAAAGTCCTTTATTTGGCTACATATTACTCACTCGTGTCCCTGATCTCAAACAGCTTGATAGTGGTTTTTCGATTTCAAGGACTGGATATTGGAATTTAATTACAGAGTAAGAAAGCATAAAACCACAGAAATGGAAACGCGTGAGATTTACTGGCAATTAAGTTATAGAGAAAAGAACTATAACTTCTTAATCGAGCATGAGGTGTATCAAGGAGCCGCGGTGTATTTATAATGTTAATGGCGCAGTTTAAGACTTTCATGTTATTAAAAAAGTTCTGGCTTCTTCTGTCAAACTGTATCTGCTAAATCTATTCAGCAGTTTAAGATCTTTATTACCTGTGGTTAATTTGATTTAATTTCAGCGTCGCAAAGTGTGGGTGTCGTGCATGGGCGAGCGGCCAGCCGACGTCGACGCTCTGGGCCCTTTGAAATATTGGCCATACCCTGGTCTGCCAGAGACATATTTCCCGTATGACAACACGCCAGGTTACCTCAGTCCCCTGGTAGCAGTGCAGCTCCTCAAACCAACTTGTGGGTTTCTTTAATTTATTTTAGCTTCATCTAAAGTGCTTTTTGTTGCCCAGATTACCGTTTTATTTAAAAAAAAAAATCAGTTTAAAAAATTCACAGATAGATCTCAGTTCCCTGGGTAGTGTTCTAATTTTAACGTTAATCATTAAATTTTAAATTATTTGATATCTATTCTTATATATATAAAGTAGGTTTAAATTCAGTTTTTAAGTGTTTTAAAAAGCAGAAGGTCCTTAATTGACCTGTATTTTTTTGTTATGAAATGTCATTGCCAACTGTAAACCGATTTAGATAAAGATTTGTTGCCATTAACAGGGCTTATTTACATATTGAAACCATATTTTATGTTGTCTTACATTTTGCTCTTAAATTGATATTTTACTATAAAACAATTGCAAGAATATACATACATTTTTATATTTGAATTTGTAATAATAATTGATTGTTTTATTTGCTCTTCTAATCGGTTTATTTATTTGTTAAAGTACAATTTTATATATTTATTTTAAATATAATGTGTATGTTTGTTTTAGTCTGATTATATTAATATATATATATATATATATATATATATATATATATATATATATATATATATATATATATATATATATATATATATATATATATATATATATATATATATGACTTGCTCAATGGTTGACTGATAGAGAATATCATCGATGTTATGTCCGCCAAATGTTCGAAAAATTTCACTGTGCATTCAAGTTTAAATAAATAAATAATTATTGTATTGTATTTAATGTTTGTTATATGTGTGTGTGTTATGATGCAATATGCTGTTGGTATTCCTATAAATAAATAGATATTTTCACGCGAATTCAATTAACAAATATTTTGTGTAAATTATATTTTAGCAGTTAACGATAATATTAAGGCGCAGATTTATAATATCTTCACAACTAAACTCGCTGTTTGCTGGAGTATAATTTTAAATTTTAACATTTATACTATATAATATAAACATTTTTATTTTCAGTGCACCAGATTATAAACATTCGATGCCGCGCGTGGGCTCGCAATATCAAATACACGCCGAGTTTGAAGGAGAGGCTCGGCTCTACACATCTCGAGATTATGATCGATTGAGTGGCCAGTTTACGTTTTAATTTATAATTAGAATCTGAATGTTAGTCGAATTTTTTCTCATAATTTTATACATTAAATTATTTTTATATTTATATTTTATTTGTTTTTAAACGTACTTATTGTAAGGTGAAATTGAAATCGTTAGCATTGTTCGAGTTCTAACAGTAAAAATACTGGTCAATGTCAACGTCAATTTATTTATTAAAGAAAAATGAGAAAAATGATGTGGGAGACCAAAATTGTTTTATTATTCTTAATTTTTAAGAATTACTGTCTTAGTTTATTATATATATATATATATATATATATATATATATATATATATATATATATATATATATATATATATATATTGTCAGGATATATTGTCCAGTATATGAACATCTATTTTAGATTAATAATTAGGTAATTTTGAATCTCGAAGATCAGGTCCAAAGCTGGACAATTTGTGATTATTTTTCCTACATATTTATATTGGAGTAATTATTATTGTCTCGTCAAACATTAGGTCGTGTCGAATTAAAGTCATACTTAGAAATTATATGAATGTAATGTAAATCAATGTTATTAATATCGTGCCTTATAATGGTATTTGTAATTTAATGTTAGTAGTTAGTACGTAATAGACATTTTGTAATATTTTTATGAATCTATATATAGATAATAATCTTTATTATAAAAATTTATATATTTTTGTATTGAAATATTATAAAAAAAGAGGGGAATTAAACTTATAATCAGTTATACATTGCTATATAGGTAAAAACACAAATTGTGTGTTCCCTATTTACCCGTAGGTTAAAATATTAGTCAAACTATAATATGTGATGCTAGTCCTATTAACAAAGTCGTGTTTAGTCCACGGGAAGAGAAATTACATTGAAATTACGTGCCATCTCGAAACATGTCTACCGTGCTGTGATTTTTATTTTAAATGACGTCAGGAACTTGTAAAAAAAGGTCAGTCCATCAAACAACTAAGAGAGGGAAAGAAACAAATATTTTTATTCAAGTAAACTTAGATTTAATAGTCCTTTTCTCATTATCGCCCATTCGGAATGGAATTTCAGCCAAGAAGAACGGACAAGAAACTCAGCTGTTGCTTTTTTCAAATAGTTTAACTATATAAATAATGAATTTGTGTTAATACAAACTACTAAGCAGTATCTGATTATAAAATTTAAAATAAAACAAACCAATAAAACAAATCAGTTGCAGTGACTAGAGCAGACCAGTTCTTACAGGCAACGCTTAATAACTCAAAATCATGTCTCAGATATGATTTTGAAAAATTTTTACATAATAATTATATGTATTATTATTTATTACCTATTTTATATTATTCGTGTCAGTAACGTGGTGTAGTTGGAATAAATGTATTTCGATGTTACCAGTGAAAAGCTATTAAGCTTCAGGTTTAGAAGCAAGTCATTGTAATTTCTTTGGATTTCTTTTATATATCTAGAAACTTTAAGTTAGATATTTCTGTAGTGCGAATTGTATTATTTGATGAACAATATGAGATGAAATCTCGCAGAAAACTTAAAAGGAATATGGCTTGTTTAAAGAAAAAAGTGTTATGTTCTATAAATTGTGTTCCATTTTTGTTTTTTTTTTTTTAATCAAATTCTTCTAAAATACTATTTAATGAAATATAAATCATTGTGATTTGCTTACACTTGGGTAACAGACGTAATATTTATGATCTATAAATTAAAGTTGGAAATTATAAAGTGAATGCTAAGGGAGTTAATGTGTTAATGAATAAATTACATTCATGAAATGAATGGAATTTACAAATAGTACAAAATTTGTTTTTTTTTTTCCATCATTTTCATACTAAGTACTGTACTGTGTATATACGAAATGACCATACAAAATTAAACGTTGCATTTTTTCAAGTAGATATTCCATCAAAGGGAGTGACAATTTGTATCAAAAACATAGGTAGAAAAACGTTAGTGTTGAGTTCAATTCAACTGGCTAAAAGTGGATATCGTTGTCAATGAACATGAATATCACAGAATAAACTGTGACGTGACACCCTTGGTACTTCCTGTGGGTTTTTGTTTTTAATGGATAATAATGGAATGGTAGCCCCACCCGCGTTATCGGTATACACCGGCGGGGCACCAGTGAAGGATGATAGGTGAGGACGAAGCAGGTCATTTAGCCCATCGTGACGAATTCAACAAGAATTGTTCACGATGGTTTCCAGGGGGAACCACGTGAAGGTCGACCTAATAAGGCATATTGCTAGCAATGGGGCTGTCAAACTCCATTGCTAACAATCCCTTTCCCCCCACTTCCTGTGGGTTGTTATTTTAGTGTCAATCCGTTTTAGCTAATTTGTTACTAAGAATCTTTTTGGGATTTTCATTTAGGAGAACGGGAGAAAAGGAAATAGAAACCATATATGTATATGCTCTCAAACTATATTCGTTTTAAAATAAATTACAAATTAATCTCACTCTTATTAACATTACGGTAACGTTCACGTTCGCTTTCCATTCAGAGACTATTACATACTTTCACAAAATACTTTACTTTACAATACAATACAATATAATATAATGTTTGTCAAACAAAGATAACTTTATAATCTATAAAGAATAAAATACCTTTTCACAACACTCCTGATGCTTTTGTCCCCATTAGGGACTGAAGTCGACCGAAATTTTGCGACCCTTCGGTGATCCCGAAACTTCGGAATTAGACTTCATTATAGATTCTTAGATGCAGATTACCATGTGATTTCTTCATAGAATGGGCCATCCGTTTCTTTATCGTAGTTGTCGTAAGAAGCCACTAAGTGAATTTAATGCTCGTGGGATGGGTAGCAGCGTTTTAAGAGTAAAACATCACCAAACCCTAATAGTTGTTGCCAATTCGTTTGCCAAGCGTAGGAACTATTGACACAGCCTCCCTTTTGGGAGAGGCTTATGTTCAGCAGTGGACAGTTAACTGCTGATCTGATAACAGATTCATAGATAATCAATATTTTCAAGTTGGAATTCAAAGTTGTATCGAAGACAGATAGGATTATATATAATAGTATATAAGTGTATATAATGAGTAGGGATATATATTTTACATTTATTACATGTATCACATCTCTATATTAAGAAATAATAGAATTTCATCGTGCCTCCGATCAAACTGTTTATAACTACTCCTCTCCATCCAAAGGTTGCCTGGAAGAGATCGCTCTTAGCGATAAGGTCGCCCATTGTTGTCACATTGTGATTATTTCTTGTAATTGTTTATATTTATATTAAGTTTATTATTGTAATCTTTTGGAGGAAACAATGAAGAGTATCTATCTATCTTTTTGGTGCTGTTTTGTACCGATTGTCTCCAGTTAATGGAAACGAATTGGAGTAAATGTTAATTAATTTAAATCAAATGTTAATTTAAAATATACGAACTATAACCTTGAAATGCAGAATTGATTTTGATGTTAAAAGGTGCGAAAATACTTTTAGCGAGATTGGTCAAAATTTTTAGAGAATCGGGGTGTCCAAAAGGGTCTTTCACATGCTTTGCTGCAGCAAAGCATTGGGCACTACAATTGCTGTTACTGATTTTGTAAGAATTTTGAATAAATATCTTAAAAGAACTACGATCTTTGGAAATTTCCACTTGCATCGTGCCTTCTCATCAAAGTGTTGTGAAAGGAGTCTTTGACGTGTTCTATTAATTTAAATTTCAATACAGACATAGAAGAGGACATAAATAAGAGATATGTACTAAACACTCGCAACACTCACTGTCCTGTTACTGTGCAGGTCTACTCGATCATGATCTCTATGTGGACGGTGCCCATGCCCTCGTGGCGGTCGTACATGATGTTGTGCGCCCACGCACGACACTCGATATTGATCAGCATTCCCGCTGTAAGGACACAGAAGGTGTTACGCTCACAAAGTACTCGATCTTACTGTTCATATGGTCGGGTGAATGATTGACGAGCACAAAGTGGAATCAACATGTGCCATGAATAAATGAATTTGGCATGACTTTTGAATACCTATATGCTATTATTCGAATTATATTCCATTGATGAATAAATTTATAAACAACTATATATCTTGGACAGATATTTTCCATTATATTTTTTTGGTAGGTGAGAATGAAATGGTAACCCCTCTTGCGCTATCGGTATAAGATGGCGAGACATTAGTGAGAGACAAATTTCACAAGAATGACGTGTAGCTAGCAATGTAGCTATCAGACCCATTATACAAACAAGCTGTCGGAAAGTGGTAACCGTCGCCTTTAGACATGAGCAGTACCATGGACATAAGAGAGTATACTGTTTCGCCCATGATACCCCCCCTGCGTTGCCATTCCTGAGGATTCAGATGTTATTCCTCTGTACCCAGTAAATTCACGCCATATCCCACCCTTCAAACCGAAACACACCCATGCAAACACAACTGCTTCAAGGTAGAAACACGAACGGGACAGAGGTACCCAAGCAATCGACTTTTGTACAAAGTCTCCCTCTGGTAAAAGTCTCCCTTTTCTCCCTCATCATTATTATTTCAAGCGTGAACAATGAACAGCTAAAATAATGATGACAAGAACAATTATAATTATAATTAGAGATAAAAATCTTACTTTTCGGCCTCTGTAAGTGAACAGCGACCAGGGGACTGAGGTAGCCTTCCTGGTTGGTGTATGGAAAGTAATAGCCAGGGAATCCTCTGTTTGGCAGGTATTGAATAGGGCCAATGTTCTCTCTGTCCGCAGGGTTTTCGCCTTCGCAGGACACCCACACCATGTTCAGCTGAAAGGGTTGAATGTTAAAAATAAACTTGTAATAAAAACTATTATGATCTGAAATATATTATGACGATTAAAATTTTTGTCAATCATTTGGTGCCAAGAAATTAAAAGCCAGAGAGGCTTTTTCACGCAATTGTAATTGGCAAACACCTGATGGAAAGTAGTAACTGTAGCCTATAAAGACTTATAATGCTCCTTGTGGTTTCACATTTTTAAGGACTAAGGTGTGAGCCTTCATATCCTGTAATTTAGGTCATAGAAACTGTAACTCTCCACGGCGTGGACATTCATATTCACAAAATTCATAGATAGAACATTTATTCAAATCTTACATTGAAGCACTTTTGAAAAGTCATTACATTTTTTTTATTTTGCTCGTTCGGAAAGCTGATGTTATGAATTTCAAATAATTTTATCATATAATAATATACATAACATCAAAATAATAATACATAACATCAAAGTATTGATGTTATGAATTTTGTGCCAGATATTACACTAGTTACCTTAGCCTTCAGAGCGACACACAAAACTTATTTCCATAAGAGATATAGGTAAGGTGCGTTTTTCAAGGCACTTTCTTCCACGCACAACCACTCTTTGGAATCAACTTCCAGCAGCAGTATTTCTGAACCGATACGACAACATAACCTTTAAGAAAAGAGTATATTCCTTTTTAAAAGGCCGGCAACACACCTGCAATGCCGCTGGTGTTGTGGGTGATCATGGGCGGCGGTAGTCACATCAGGTGAGCCGCATGCTCGTTTGCTTGTTGTGTTGTAGAAAAAAAAATAATGACAAGAATATGCTGTTAAATTTTGAAAAATTTTGTTATTGATACGCGCCAAATATTTTTTTCTTTATTTCTTCTTATTTTTATGGTAATGGTCACATAAAACTCGCTGGTAAAGAATCATGGGAAATATTACAAAAGGTCCTTAGAAGGGAATTATTTATTATCATAGTTCCAGGAACAAAGCAAGAATGAATGAATATGTCGGTAGGGGCCGCCCTAGACGGACGTATGTCGACCAAATAGGCGACATGCTGAAGAAGGGCCAAATTAAAAGTACCCGTAACCGGCGAGCGTGTATGAAAAGATTGATAAATGTGGAAGAAGCGCAAGAGGTTTGTTTGAATCGAAGCATTTGGCGTTCGTTTGTTTCTGCCTACCCTAATGGGAGACAGGCGTGACAGATATGTATGTATGTATTCCAGGAACAAAGTAATAAGAGGACTTTACTTACATAGTTTTTATCATGTGCCGTCAAGTTCCTGATATGGTTTTTCAAGTCTTCAGGCATGGCAGGTGGCAAGCTATCCGAGCTGTTGTAGAAGTGTGGCTTCCATCCGTATATCTTGTTGAGCTTTAGGAACACACAGGGTGTGGACTTGTGGTATGCAAAGTGGTTACCCTCGACGCACGGTCCCCAAGTGCTGATGTCGACGTCGCAAACCTTCCCGGCTGGCGGTGGATGCTGGAAGTCACAGTTGTGAATATTCTGTCCAGCTCCGGCTTTTTTATCGTCCCGTTTGTACGCTAGAAATGGTGTTAAGTTGTTATATTTATTGATGATTTCATGGCTTACAATCCTGAAGACTAAAGTATTCTTAATTTGGTGGTAAGGATATGTCTCAAATTTAAATTTAAATATAATTTTATTATTAAACTGAACAAAAGCAATTTAAGGGTTATATAATAGAAGACAAGGACTTATTAAAAGTAAAACTGAAGGTTTTCTGTACCACGATCTTTTTTTTATGCAACTTAGAATGGCAAGCAAGCTGACGGCCCACCTGATGGAAAGTGGTAACCGTTACCTATAGACATGAGCAATACCATGGACATAACAGAGTATACTGTTTCGCCCATGATACCCCCCATGCGTTGCCATTCCTGAGGACTCAGGTGTTATTCCTCTGTACCCTGTCAATTTACCACCATATCCATGTGATTTCTGTTACTGTTTTCTAAAATCAGAATTACCTTTCAGAAACTTCGACAGTTCTTTCACCCAAAATTGGTGACTGCTTGGATCATTCCCTTTGTACCAGATGACGCTGCTCATGACCTCTGGAGGCAACGGCCTGAATCCCAATCCTGGGTTGGTGCCAATTATGCTTTTGTCTAATTGCCACATGGGCTGCCTCGGGTCCAAGAGTTGCAGGAAAGTCCACATGCAAATAGCGACCAAGATGGCCAGAGCCGCGTAAAATATGAAGTAGAACAGCGCTATTTTAGCTGAAATGAAATACATAATAAACATTTAATGGTTTAACATTTGCAATTAGGAAAGTAGCCATACTTTCTTCCCTAAGCATACCTAATTCTGAACAATTTTCTTCAAAATTAAAACGATATTCTGAACAATTGTTTATTATCTATACTTAGGATAAATCTGTACATGAAATATGTATATTTCCAAAATAACTATCAGGGGGTGATTAGTGATCGATACTGATACCAAAAATGCAATCAGTAAAATTTTTGTCTGTCTGTCTGTATATTCGTTATAGAAACAAAAACTATTCGACGGATTTTAACGAATAACTTGGTACAATTATTCTTCATACTCCTGGACAGGTTATAGCATACTTTTCATCACGCTACGATCAATAGGAGCAGAGCAGTGAAGGGAAATGTTAAAAATGTCCACCCGAGCGACGCCGGGACAGGCCGCTAGTTCTAAATAAAGTAAAAAAAATGCAACGACGCACGAATGGGCGCAGTATCAATTGCATCCTGTCTACATTTGTTATTAACACATATGTGTTCGCATATGATAGTATAAAAAGTACGTATATAAATATAAATTTTGCTGGGAAGTCGTAACATAATCAAATTCATAACTTACTGATATTTCACGGTAAAGTCACGTGAAAAAACAGATACATTTAACTAACTAAAAAGAGAAGGTCCGTGCCAAAAAACCAGAGTGAAACAAAAACGAACTTAGCTTGCAATTAGTAAATTGCTAAGTACCTAATTATAAATAACAAATGTTTAACAATAAAGAAAAATTACAAAAAAAAAAATTACAGCTATTCCAGACAATATATGGATTCTGATGATACTGCATACATGCAAATCTCTTTAGACATTTAAAAGTTTTTGTATTGCAGGCAGTCAGTAGCTGCAGGTGGTTCGGGACCGTTCTTTATGGCAGTCTATGGGGGAGGCCTATGTCCAGCAGTGGACGGATAGCAGCTGATATCATGATGATGATTTAGAAGTTACGGTGGAATAAAGAAACTCACATATGTGTACATGAACCCTAACACTTTATTTTTAGAGAGTCATGTAAGAGCGATAAGACAGCCTTTTGTACCTTTATGTATATATTTCAATCTGTACTCCATGCTACTGTATTTCACTTGAATTGTTTATATGTCATTTTTTATTTTTATGTTTTTGGTGCAATAAAGAGTTAAAATAAATAAATAAATAAAATGTGATTTATGTATTTTTTTTTTACATGAAAACACATCGATGAATGTCATAGTTCATATAAATGAATACTTTCATTAAATTTGAATGCTTTCTAAAATTCGAGGTTAAGTTTTGTGTAGGTAATGGAGAACTAGGTACTATTATATATATAATCAAGGTTGGGCAGCGTCTTGTCCAGTTATATCGACCGAGCGCACCGCCGGCGCCGTCCAGGATGTCGCGTAATGATCTCATTGCTTCAATTCTGCGGCCGTCGCTGCTTCCGCTCCCACTCCGCCATGCATCATTCTTGTCATTTGGATACGGTCGACGTTTGCTTTGTTTTTGGTAAAAGTCATAACGTTTCAACGTAATTCCGGACAAATGAACAGGGACTTCTTTTGTGGGATTTTTTTATACAACTTAAAATGGCAAACAAGCTGACGGCCCACCTGATGGAAAGTGGTAACCGTCGCTTATAGACATGAGCAGTACCATGGACATAACGGAGTATATTGTTTCGCCCATGATACCCCACATGCGTTGCCATTCCTGAGAACTCAGGTGTTATTTCTCTGTACCCTGTCAATTCTCGCCGTATCCCAGCCTTCAAACCGAAACACAGCCATGCAAACACAACTGTTTCACGGTTGAAACACGAATGGGACAGAAGTACTCAAGTAATCGACTTTTGTATAAAACTTGTATCCTTGTTGGTTTTAAGAAATACTGTTATATATCGAATAACCAATTGTCAAAATTAGGTCAGAATTAATTAAGATATTGCGTATCATACAGATAATTAGAATACAGACGATTTAAAAACCTCCTCCTTCTAGAAGATGCTAACAAAAGAACTTTTTCTAATAAAGATTAATTTCTAGATCTATGTTCAATAGTGGACAGTTAATTTTAATATAATAAATACTGGTTTAAAGATCAACTAGTTTCGGGACCAATCCGTGATCCTTAATCATGAGCGGCTGTGATGTGAGCACGAGCCTGACTGCGCGCCTCGACTCGTTATGGTTATTAATGAAGTTAATAGCTGATATGATGATGATTAATTTGTTGCTTTTTTTATTATTATTATTATTTTAAGGGCTTTTACCTTTTTCAGGTATATCAGCCCTATCGTACCCTGAACTGATTTCTCAAACAAAATATTATCTACTTTTCCTAGACATGGAAAGAAAATAATTAGTGGGCATCAATTTGTTGCATTTATTATTAATCCAAATTAAGTTTTACACTTTTTTACATTATCCGACCAGTAAGTGCTTTATATTATTCTCAATATCGTGTATAATATAGTATATGTCATATATGTGTAAGTATATTTGTTATTCATATATATTTATTCGTTTATATATGTAATTTTAGTATGTATGTATATCAATAATTACTAGTACCACATTCGAGTATTCTGACACTTCCCAATGGTTGACTGGGAGAGAATGCTTTTAGCATTAAGTCCGCCATGTACACATATTTGTACTAATGAGTAAATAAATAAATAAATAAATAAGTTTTACAATATTTCAATAATAGTATCTTTACGAGATATTTACAATAAAAGATAGATAATAAATACAAAAAGGTAAATGAGTAGTAAAACTCGACAGCCAATATACTCACACCAACTGGAGCCGGTCCTGCCGCAGAATTGCCTGGTTTTAGGGTTCCATATGAAGCGTCGCATCCTCTCGTTGGTGCTAAGGTTCGGCTCCTGCTCCTTGTAGTACATATTGAACCGCTCCAAACTGGTCAGATCCGACACACGCTTCTTCACCGTCATCTTGGCTTGATTTATTTACGGTACTGTAAGTGTAAGAAGTATCATGTGCTATTAAATTCGAAGCCTCTCGCCATCGACATGTAATCCTCACACGTTTGAACCTAAATTATCGCGTACAGTGTGATTTCAAAAGAGTTTCCTCCCGCGACCGCTCATTCTATGGGTTTTTCTTAGACTACAGTATGGGGTTCTTTAAAAACTATTCTTTTTAAGGTTTCTTCAAAATCAGTAACACGAATTTGATACGCCTAGGTCTTGCACGCGTCCATACGCTACAGTGACCTTTTACCATCAGATGGGCTGTATGCTTATTTTTTACCTTCGTGGTATAAAAAAATCTTGTTATGAACTCCTTCATGTTTTTTAATGGACGATAATGGAATGGTAACTCCACCTGCGCTAACGGTATATGCTGGCGGGGCACCAGTGAGAGATGAGGGTGAATAGACAAGAATTCAACACGATGGTTTTCAGGGGGAACCACGTGGTGGTCGACCTAATAGCGTATATTGCTAGCGATGAAACTGGTAGTCCGCGTTACTAACAATTTCTTTCCCCCCATTCCTTTAGGTTATGCAAGTACTAAGTATTAATAACCTTGTACTATTTATGTAAAATAAATAAATAGATAGTAATATGAGTATATCTAAAGAAGAACTATAGAAAGAAGAATATTTAAGATAAAATATGGCAGCTGGAGAACTATATTTTCATATAGGTGTATATTCCAACTAAAACCGGTTTTAACTGCTCTCAGCAGTTAAAACCGGTTGTGTAGTTGGTGTGTCTGGATGTGACTGCTCAAGATCTGTGTAAAATAAATAATGTGTGTGTGTGTGTGTGTGTGTGTGTGTGTGTGTGTGTGTGTGTGTGTGTGTGTGTGTTGATCCATTTATTAATTTAGTTGAGTAGGATTTGTGATAATTTAAAATTGGTTTTTTTTTTTTTAAGAAAACGTGATACAAAATTCTAGTAAATCGCTCTCAGTATACTCTATTAGGTCGACCTCCACGCGAATAACTCTGGAAATCATCGTGATTGATTTATTGTTGAATTCATCATGGGCTAAGTGACCAGCTTCATCCTCACCTGTCATCCCTTACTGGTGTCTCGCCAGTGTATACCGATAGCGCAGGTGAGGTTACCATTTCATTATCATCCATTAAAAAAATTATAATAAACGGATTTGAAAAAAACATTTTGAATTTGAAAGCACATTTGTCGAAGAAGGCAAATGGTTATTTACTATACGACCATGGGCGAAGTCAGCTAGTAATAAAATCTAATAATTTAATATTATAATTTGTCTAAAATTGACACGAAAAATAGTTTAACTCTCGACAGTTTAACACATTCCCTATCTGTCCTTAATGAATCCCCAGGTACACTTACCTATCCACGATATCAGCGTGCGAGTTGCGCGTGTGTGTGGCGACGCGGGACGACTGCATCGGGCGCGTCGCCTGGACTGACCTCACAGGATAATGGGATGCCGCCGTGCAGTCGAGAGCCACGAATGAATGCTCTAAATAATTAGAACTAGCTCTTTCTTGTGAATTTTCTGCCTTTATGAGGCTCCTTAGGACATCATCATTAACGAAGTCGACCTAATTTTTTTTTATACAACTTAGAATGGCAAATAAGCTGACGGCCCACCTGATTTCTGATAGAAAGTGGTAACCATCGCCTATAGACATGAGCAGCACCAGCTGCTGCCTATCCCATGACCGATAAGTTCCTTTACTTACCTTTTACGAGAAAGGAAGGAACGGTATTTGTTAATTTATCTATATGTATTATATATGTGTTTTTATAAAGTTTCCCTTTTATTTTAAAGTAACGCCACCATCTCTGTTCGCCCCATAGTTGACTGGTCGAGAACGCCTTCAGATGTTATGCTCCCCGTGCGTGCTTTTGTTTTGTATATGTTTTTGTGTATGTTAAATAAATAAATATTCGAGGACAAAGGTGACAAAGGTACTCGCGTTACTGTTCAGTACCCTATAATTTTATTGCCATGTTCTATGCCATCTATTTTGTTGCCATTGCCATTCAAGTTGAACAATACTATGCAAATACAGCTGCTTTGTGGTAGAAACACAAAAGGACAGTGGTACGTATGCATAAAGTCGCCCTCTGATGGTGTTTGTCGTAGATTAGGTTAACTAATGCAAAATTGTGTTACGTACTTGGATTTCTTTTTAATGGATGATAATGGAATGGTAACCCCCGCCCACGCTATCGGTATACACTAGCGGAGTACCAGTGAAGGATGACAGGTGAGGATGCAGCAAGTCAGTTAGCTCATCTTGACGAATCTAACAATAAATTAATCACTATGGTTTCCAGAGGGAACCACGAGAAATACATTCTATCAAGGACGCAAGGACAACCTTGCGGTTCTTACTGGGAACTGGAGTGTTCTATTCCAGTTGAATTTGTCACGATAGGCTGACTGACCTGCCTTTTCTTCCTCACCTATCATTCCTCACTGGTGCCCAGCCAGCGTATACAGTTAGCGCAGGCGGTATTACCATTCCGTTATTATCCATTAAAAAAAACTGTTGTCAAGTGCGATGCGAGTGTGGTATAGTGCCGTCCAGTCGCCCCCTCACGCGATCTGTACGCCACTCGTGATTTGTCACCTCCATGTTATTAATGTTACCTTATATAAGAATTGTAATGGTTTATTACCTTAACATAGTATAGTATTATATTATCTGTGCCTTTACCTTATGTATGTTAGAAGAATATATAGATAGATAGAGTAGAATACATAGATAGAGGATCGAGTCTCAAAAACGGATCAACTTTTTGTCAGCAAATTGTTAGGTGATAATGCATGATCAAAGTGTACACTTGTATTAATACGAATATGTTAAGGAATTTACTTATATTTGTATCGTATACGTATTACAGAATATGAACAATTATAAACTACAGAATATTTTTTTCATACAACTTAGAATGGCAAACAAGCTGACGGCCCACCTGATGGAAAGTGGTAGCCTTCGCCTATAGACATGAGCAGTACCGTGGACATAACAGAGTATACTGTTCCGCCCACGATACCTCCCATGCGTAGCCATTCCTGAGGACTCAGGTGTTATTCCTGTGTACCCTGTAAATTCACGCTATATCCTACCTTTTAAACCGAAACACAGCCGTGCAAACATAACTGCTTCACGGTTGAAACACGAATGGGACAGAGGTACCCAAGCAAACGACTTTTGTACAAAGTCTCCCTCTGGTAAATTAGTAATGTAATAAATGTGAAGATTTGCAACGATGGAGGTTTTTTCCAATTTCTAAAATGACTGGTGTGATGAAGGTGGTGAATGATCTATAATGACTTAAACCGTAACATTATTATTTGAATGACAAGCAGACGAAGTCGCGGGCAATTAGTTAATTACTCAAAACCTTTGCGGTCTGTAAATCCAAATAGGTCTCTCATTATTTTTCAATTGATTAATTTAACACTTAACCTGCCAAGTGCGTTCAAATGGCCGTTTTTGAAATTTAGTTTAAAAATTTCACGTATAACGTTACTGTATCACCATGTAACTCATTTTTTTTTATATGGGTGAAAATGGTATGGTAACCCCGCCTGCGCTAACGGGATACACTGGCGGAGCACCAGTGAAGGGTGATAGATGAGAATGAAAACAGGCCAGTCAGCCCATCATGATGAATTCATCAGGAATTAACCATGATAGTTTCCAGGGGGAACCGCGAGGAGGTCGACCTGGTTGGGTACTGTCATGTATAGTTAGTTTGAGGGTAGTTGAATAATATGATTAAAACAGTTGTTGTCTGACATTGGGATGGTTTCATTAAAACATTACATGGTGGCAGCGGTATATCATAAATACGTGTATAAATTTGATAAAAGTGTTATAAATAACGTATTTAAATAAAGATTAAACTTAACAAATATAAATTTGCATAATAAACTAGTCGTGAGTGGATATTTTGTTATACGGCATAATGGAGCACGCGCGACCACCGCCCGAATTAAATATGGAGGGAGGCCCTGTGAGTCGTGCCGATGCATGGAGGCGTTGGCGACAACAATTCCTGCTGTTTATCAAGGCTTCGGGTGTGGATTCCGAGAATTCAGCAGTACAAGCCAGTTTACTAATCAATTTGATCGGTCCGGAGGGGTTTGACGTGTATCAAACTTTCACTTTTACTAAAGATACAGATAAAGATGACGTAAATGAAGTACTAAAAAAAATTCGATAGTTATTTTGGAACTAAAGAAAATATTACATTACGCGCGCCGGCGCCACGCCGCGCCGACGGTCGGTTCACGCCTGTGCACGCCGCGCCCTGCTCTGGCTGCGGTGCCAGGGTGCGCTGCCAGCAGAAGCAGTGTCCGGCTCAGAATGCCACTTGTTTTGTATGCGGTAAACGAGGACACTTCGCTCGAGTATGTAAGTCTGGTTACAATACTAATTTCAACAGTGGCAGAGTTAGGCACGTATACGAAATCGGCGAAGAAGAAGCAAATACCGAGTCAGACGAGGAAGAATCGTTTCACATATCAGTAATTACTGATAACAAAAGTGAATCAGGAAAGTGGTTTGAAATTTTGACTTGTACGAACGGGGAAGAAAATTTTAAATTGGACACGGGGGCGGACATAAATGTAATATCATACAGGAGATTCATAGAACTAGGTTATAATGAATGTGATATTAAAAATACTAATATAAAGCTAGAAGCATACAGTGGGGATAAAATACCTATTAAAGGTACATGCAGCATGAAGTGGGTGTATAAAAATACTATATATAATTTGAGATTTGCGATAGCAACAAAATTGTCAAAGCGTGCTGGGCCGAAAATCATGTGAATTAATGAAATTAGTAAAAAGAATTTATGGAATAAATTTAACAGATTATAGTGACTTATTTCAAGGAGTAGGATGTCTGCCCGGAAAGTATCACATTGTAGTCGATAATTCCATACGCCCTGTCGTATGTGCTTCCAGAAAAATACCGTTAGGGATACGGGATAGATTATTACTAGAGTTACAAAAAATGGAAAAATTAGGTATCATTAGGAAAGTATATCATCCTACCCCGTGGGTTCATCCATTAGTTATAGTTGCTAAAAAAAATAATGGCATTCGCATATGCCTAGACCCGCGCGATCTAAACCGCGCGGTACAGCGCGCACACTTCCAGCTGCCCACAGTAACGGAGTTAGCGACACGTTTACATGGCGCCTGTTATTTTTCGGTACTTGATGCCATAACAGGGTTTTGGGCTGTGCAACTCGATGAGGAAAGTGTAGATCTTTGTACTTTCGCAACTCCCTTTGGCCGTTATCAGTTCCTTCGGTTACCGTTTGGAATTAATTGTTCCTCAGAGGTATTCCATGCGAAAATGCGTCAACTCTTAGAAGACTTGTAAGGGGTGGATAGCTTCGTCGATGATATTATTGTTTGGGGAAAGACGAAACGAGAACATGACGTTATCTGCCTATTATGTATGTTAGGCTGGTTGCACTATTAAATCGAGCACGAAATATAAATTTAAAATTTAACAAAGATAAATGCAAAGTGGGTGTAGAAGAAGTTGTATATTTAGGGCACGTATTTGATAAGAACGGTATGCGACCAGACTATAACAAAATAAAAGCCATAAAGGAGATGCCAGAACCGAATGATAAGAAAAGTTTACAGCGATTTTTGGGAGCGGTAAATTATTTGTCAAAATTTATACCGAATCATTCTGAGAGCGCGTTACCGTTAACCAATTTATTAAAAAAGGTGATCAAGTAATATGTAATGATGGTAAAAATCGTACTAGGGCCACTGTAGTAAGCACGGCTGATACGCCTCGTTCTTATATTATAGAAAATAAAATAGGAACCAAATATCGACGTAATCGTCGTCATTTAATCAAATGTGAACCACCGGAAGTAAAGTTTGAAATAAACAAAGCTGAACCAGCCGTGGTTACTAAGGTTTTAAACCAAAAACATCGGAAACAAGGTCGGACGTATGTATCGGTGGCACGATGGATGCACCGTACCGCACTGTGAGACACCGCCGGGTTCGAACCCGCAACCAAATAGCAGTAGTGGTAGTATGTTTCTTAAACCATCGCTTACGCGCAAACGTGCCAAAACACTCAAATAAATTAGATAGAATGCATTCTCAGTGAACACACTCATATCTGTTTTTGTATAAAACATACTACATCTACTATATTTCATTATACTGATTTCTTTAGCAATAAGGTGTTATAAAGTAGTATATAAGAAGTACATATTAAAGCATTACAAACTCGGACTGTTATTGCATTTACATGTTTATTTTTTGATAAGGTTTATTTTCATCTATAGATTTAATAAAAATACGAGTATATATTCCTATTTACTGTTTATAGACTTGTATTGTAGTAGATAAGTAACTATGTAGTTAAAGTGTATATATTTAAGCAAATAGGTAATAAGTACTCAAT